GTAGACGTATGATATTCATGGAGAATGTTCGCCTTTGAAATTTCAGTAAGATCGTACTTTTTACTCGATTACAACAGCGGTGAGACACGGTAGTATTTGTGGATGTGACTTGCTGAGTTTAGAATTGTTGATTAAGAAGCCGATCATATCATTAGCTGCCGCCTAGGATTACTTCAAATATACCTTATCCAAAATATGGAATGACCTGTCACTTTTTGTAAGAGTGGTAGCGTTTAAATCGTTACTGACATTAAAACGAAAATGCTCACTATTTAAGAAGCAATTATGGGATGCACGAATATTATATTGCACGTTGAAATCAATACCGTCACTAAACGAAAAAATTGACTTTCGGAAAATGGCGCTTAAAGTTTGTGGAAAGAGAGAGTTTGGATTTTGTGATCATGTTGTTTTGAATATGGGATATTTTGTGTTTCTGAATATTTAATAATTTTCATTGTATTAGTTATAACTTTCTTATGCTTAAATATCTTAAATTAGTAGAGTAAAAAAAATTACATACACAATATATAAGTTCGTATAATTTTTGTGATTTTCATGTGATAGAAGCATTTTTTATGTATGATCACAATTTTCGATGGTTTTATCATACCAAGAGTCCGTACGTTTTATTATATTTATATATAATTTTTATATTGTACGTATTGCACATCAAGTTTTTTATTTGCTGTAATTTGTTTCAAATTACTACTTGATACATGCCAAACATTTAACTGCGTGTATGGTTACCATGTTAGCATGGTAACCAAGACTCTGAGGTCCGATTCCCGAGCGGGGAACAATATTTGCATGCTCTACATTTCTAGTTCTTAGTTTTTCGCGATTGTTACACACAAGAAATAAAACTAATTTTCCTGGATTTAAATCGCGTATATTTGTTTTTTCAAACAAACTGACGTTTTGGGCCCTTTACAGGTCCCATCCCAGTCAACCGTGCCCACGTGACCTGTAAAGGGCTCGAAACGTCTCAGTTTGTTTGAAAAAACAAATATACGCGATTTAAATCAGGAAAAGTAGTTTCATTTCCTATGCTCTACATTTATTTCTCTCGTGAGTTTGGGTGTTATTTTTGGTTGTCTATGTGTGTGTCTATGGTATCCACGATGCAGGGTGTTTCCCTAGTGTGACGCTATGAGTGTGTACAAAAAAATAAACCCAAAAATCAGCTCGCAACTTTTGTCCTATTTTCCACATCCACAAAACTCTAGTAACAAGTGGGATCACCTCGCAGTTCGACCTAAACCATCTTATTTTACGATCCGCACTAAACATTTCAACGTCAACAATGCGCCTGTCACCATTGCCATAAACCTTGTGGACAGCATTTGTCAACAATATAAACCGGGGATCTTAGACCCTGAACTCTGATCTGCTAAGTGTTAAGGTAGTTAGGATGTTAATGCTGGTAGGTAGTTTATTCAAAGCTTAGTGCTTATAGTGCAGCAAGTTAGTAAAGTAAAATGGAAAGATGATGTCAATAATCTGGATAGGAACTTTGAAAATCGAGTCCATAATAAATGTTTAACAAGATGTGTTAAAATTTTTTGGACACAATTATTTGAATTTGGAAAATGTCGGAAAAGCACATAAAGAGTTTTTCAACAAGAACTTTGTTTTTTAAATCAAAATAAAACAATAAATGCCGTTGGCATTAGGTCGTGTTGTTTTTTCGAAAATTCGGCTGAAAATTCGGTTACAGTCAATGGATTACGCTATCGAGAGATTTTAACAACTCAATTTTGGCCTATTATTGATGATATGGATATCACTAACATGTGGTTTCTACAAGATGGTGCCACTAGCCACCACCCACCGAAACAATGAATTTATTGCAAACCAAATTTTCCGATTGCATAATTTCACGAAATTCAGCCGTCAAGTGGCCACCTCGATCATGTGATTCAACACCGATGGATTATTTTTTATGAGGTTATTTTAAAGACAGAGTCTATAAGGAGCCAATCGAATCGATTGCAGCCTTAAAACTTAAAATTCATGAAGTGATTAACGAAATTGACCCACCATTTTGTCAAAAAGTGATTAAAAACTTTGATGAAAGAATCGACATCTATAACTGTGGTCGTGGTAGACATTTATCAGATATTATATTTCATTCATAATTGCCAAACCTTACTTTTTTTAATACAATAAAAAATTTGAATCATTGTCATTATTTATTGTTTTATTTTGATTTAAAAAACAAAGTTCTTGTTGACAAAACCTTGTATTTTTTTGGGTCTAAAATCGCGTACATTCGTTTCTATTTCAATTAAACTTTTCATACATTTATTTATAGTATTATTTTATACATTGATTGTACTATTATATTTTATATATATTAATGTATCAATATTTACTTAATATGTACGTATTCGCATGTACATTTGGTATTATACATTTATCCTTATAATTATTGAGTGTACTGCATTCAATTTCACGATTTATTACGTTTTATGGCGAACCCAGGCGCTAACTTACCTTTCAATTATTCAAAGGTTACTTGGAAGAATTTGTGGAATAAGCTCGCCTTTGTGAAGTAACGTTTTAACATTTGTAATTTGTTTAGTTGCACAATATAGATACATACATACTACAAACTGCAAGGAAAGAAAAGTGGATTTGAAAAACGTAGAACAAAGAAGTAGAAACGAAAAGAGAAAGTGTAAAAAAGAGTACAGAAGAAATAATAAAAAAATAAAGACTAATGTAACTTCTTCTGTAACTATTTTTCAATACAAACTGAGTTAAAATTTAGTGATGGTGTTAAATATGAATTTCTCTAAGATAACCAAAATAAAATATTAGAACGATGTAATAATAAACCTTTTTTGATGTCCTGTAAAATTTAACGACCAGTACCTATCTTTATATGTACATAAAGATATTGTAAATGTCAATAAAAAACGTCATTTTTCTAAGATCAACCTGGAGCCACGTTAGGAATGACATTAAATATAACTCGTCGTATAGAAACCGCAACAATTACCAATTAAAATGTCAATTCAGTTTTATGTCGTCAAAAGTCGTGAATATTTCAATTATGGATGAAACAATTGTTCAGATTATTGCAATGGTACGTTGAGAGATATAAAACTATAACGAAGCAATAAACCTTCGAAATATTGAATTGTTTTATTTCATATCAAATTGAATGAGAAAGAATGAACAATCGTCAATTCAATACAGGATTGAAAGATATTGCATTAATATTCAATAAAGTTGTTTTTATTGATTGAAATCTATTTTGGTTAAGCTTCTATAAACATAAAAAGAACTACCTGCGACTATAGTACCGGCATGCTATTATAACCATTTTGACGTTTGTCCGCTCAAGTTTCGTATTAATTCATAACTACGTTAAAGGAGCTAATTGCTGTACATTGGTGTCAATAGTGACGTGCAGTAAAATTTATGAAACGTATAATTTTACAACACACAACTCAGCATTTGCTTTTCGAAATTGAAAATTTAAAAAAATTGAAATCTAACACGATCGTCACTTAATGGATCGCTGGCCATCACAATTTCTACCTCCGGCAAATTCGCGTGAAAGTTGAAAAACAAAGCAGTTTCAAAACAAAGCAGTTTCAAATTGACGACGTATCAAGTAAACATTTATATTTTCGTTTGATTAAAACCTTTAAATCAACTACCCCTTGCAATAGTAGTTATAAATCTAAAAACTTATAGATGCGACTCGCATTTGATCATATTGTTTTAATAATGAACGGAGATTTGATTTCGATATTGTAATCTGTCAAAACGGCCATCATAACGTGCCGGTACTGTAGTTGATGATTGCTTAAACTTTGAAAGAAAACTACTGACTAAAAGACATAATCATTTGAAAGGAAACTGTAAGTCATGGTGCCAGTGATGAAGAAAATAAAAATATGGATGAAACTGTAGTAAAGTATAATACAATAGTATTTCTAATAAGAATAAACCAAATGATTTCATTTGAGCATATATAGCAGATACCATTTCAGTATATATTGCAGATACCAAGTTTAAACGTTGAAAGCCAAAATAATATCAATAGGATAAAGTCCAAGCATTCGTAGCAGGACGACCGTATCGAAATTCAGCACAGACATGTCTAGACAAAGTCTGGGCACAGACTGGAAGATTAAAGACAGTGAGATGAATAGAACGAGGCTTGAGATACTGAAGAAAGAAAACGAAAAATGCCTTTACGTAGAAAGGCTTGTGCGCTGTCACGTACACTCTGTATTCTTATTTAATCTTTTTGCAATTGGGTACTGTTGGACTTTTGCCTGTAGCAAAAATGCAGTTCCTTGTTCTGAGTTATAATGACTGTTGTGACGAAGAATTGTAGGTAGGCATATTGTTTTGTGTGTTTATTTCTAGTTAGGTAGTAGGGAAGTACAAGTTAAAACAACGAAAAAACACATTACTAAATGCAGTAATAATGATAGATACGATTGCAATTAAATGTACCGTAAATACGTCATAACTGCAGTATCATTAAAACCTCATGAACCCCTTTTTCATTAAAAATAGCATTATATATTATTTGGCAGCCATTATTAATATTAATACGGCTTCACGACGCGAGAACTATAAAGTTGAACAAACGAGAGAGGCGGGATACTTTTTACCGCTCGGGTCCCATAAAAACGCAAGCCCTGAATTAGCTCGATTCTTTGTCACCCCTTTGAACAACCCTAAAATTTCTACTACCGTCTTTGTCTAACAATAACCACTACATTCCCATCCGTTAAACTGCATCAAGGAAAAACAATGTGAAACCACCCGAGATGAAACGAGATAGAATAAAATATATGCACTAGTAGAGAGGACAGAGAGAGCGCCATACGTAGTAGTAGCCATGGTCGTATACTTTGTAGTAAGAGGGAAAGAGATGAGGGAAAACCTCGCGTGCGAGAGAGAAAGGAACAAAAATTAACCAACAGAGGGGAGAGGAGTTGAGCTTCTTCAAGCGGGGTGGTTAGTCCGCATTCGACCGCGCTCGAGGTAGCGTCGGCTCCCGGAAATAACCCATGGTGTACGATTCAAGTTGTGAAAATTTGTGCGTTTTTCATACGACCGGATTTTGTGTTAGTATTAAGTTTTATAGACATGGTACAACGTTCGTTGACTATTGGATTGCAAATTTCATCGACGCTGAAAACTTTACAGCACTGAATAATGATATAGTGATAAACTTGTAAAATACATAAATAGTAATAGATTCGGGTACCAAGGACGTTATTATGAGCAGATCATCAATTACATTTATGTGGCCATTATGATAAGCGAGGAGCTTTGACCAAACTTTTTACTAGCAGAGGGATACCAAAGAAAATGTGTGCCAAAATGTTAATGTTTAGTTTCTCCTTATTTTCCGTCTTAATATCATGGATTGGAGTGGTAGCTGAGGAGGAGGTTTCGTCCCCTTTGCGAGTAGCACAGTGCAGAGCAACGTGCTTACAAAAGGTAAGTTTTCGGAGTTTAGTGCCTACTCTATTAACCGAGAATAGCAATGAATAGTGAGACGTGTCAAAAAGCGTTCAATTAGAAATTTAATAACAATATAAACATTTTCAATGAGTTTAGAAAGCCGTCGCTATGATTTATAAGAAAAACGTTGAAGAATTATTCAAAGCTGAGTTTTCCATGACGGTTTCGTAAAATACATTTCCAATAACTATTAAAGACACTTTTGAAATTATCTAATAATCGCGTGCTGAACAAATTAGTTTCCATGAATACAAGTGAAATTAATTGTACCAACTTCCCTGTGGATAATGATGAAAATTCATAATTGATGCGACTGAACCCGCTTTGTTCATTTGTCCCTTAATCAATCAAACTGTAGATGACGGCCTGGTGTCAAAATTGGACATGAGATTCGTTACGTATCTGTTTGCACGTGGACAGGTTATTAGGGTTAACGAAATTCAAACAGAAATGATATACATATATTCAAAGTGATGTATTAAGGGCGTGATATTCAAATTAAGAACAAAAAAGAGAATTTAGATAAAAGAACATTTCTCATGAAGAAATATGTACGGTAATAACACGAAATAAGGAACGAATTAAGTATTGCTGACCCAAAATGTTCATAATATATTTGTAGGCCTAACTGCAGCGAAATAAAATGACCAGAAACAGATTGCTATGAAACCAATGACTACGTATTATTATAACACACAAATGTAAAGATCGTTATACAACTTACAATCATTAATATTATTGGTATCTTAATAATTACAATCTCAATCGTAAATCCCACGCAATAGATTCCAAATTAATTTCAACCACTAAACCAACTAACAGTTGCCTCTCATAAATCACTTTCCTTTCGTTAGTAAACAATTTCGACAAACTAATTTACAGCTTATCGATCAAGCGCAAAATATAATTATTGTAACTTACAAAAATATTTTGCAATTGTCTTCAATTAGGTGAAGGAATTTGGTTGTTGAAAATGATGCTGATAATGAGTAGTTCATGGAGTCAATCGAGATTTTAATAAACTTCAATAGAAAATCGATTTTTAAGACACGTGACAACTTTTTTATACATGCAACTTAAAAATTAGGTACTTATCAATTTCACGAGGTTAGACTAGATGATTTTTTTCGCCGTACTTCGTGAAAGCCATTGGTATTTTCTTACTAGAGGTACGAGGTCTTTTTTATTAGGAGGACAGTATGCGATAAGCGCTACTTTTTAAGCGAAGACTCAGTTTGTTAAGTATAATAAATTAATTCTTAACTGTACCTTAAATAAAATTATATTAAATTTAATATAATTCTTAATTCATTTAATTAACACTTTAATAATAATTTCCTTTTATAGCTTAGAAATATTTCATGTAACGCAATGTAAAATTATTAATAATATAAATAAATAAATCAGATCTTGAAAAAGTAAAAAAAAATTATATAAGTATATTACTACTAAAAAATATTATTAAATATTAAAAAAAACACGAGTCATCTCGTGCTTAGTTTCGAAATATTTATCAAACCTCCTCTTGATGATAAGTACACATTTATATCGACCAATATTTACAGATAGAATTTATCGGAACAGGTTTGGTATTTATTTGAACCATTCTGAGCAGGTTGCTGCCTGGTTATCGGTCCGGGGACTATGCCTTAATAAATGTAATTTGTATCGACTATCCCTGGAATAAACTTATATGTTCCAGCTCTCGGTTTCGAGATTATAGAATAAATCATGTCGTATATTAATAAGTTCATTAGTTTTATTCTTATTAGTTTTTTGTGTGTTGTAATTAATAATTAAAAAGTTGTCACACGTGAAGCACCACACATATTTATGATTTGTAGTAAATGTAAATTAGGTTTTTTTTAATGATAACAAGTGACGGAACGGACAAGTCGTGCGCCTAGTAAGCAGCACGCCTATCCATAACAGTTTCAGTGCAACTCAGAGCTTTAAATCACAAAGGTCTTAGGAGCACTGCGACTACATCCGTCTCAAGTTGACAAGTCTTGTTAACAAATTTAGTAGCATTATAGCTTCTTGTGAAAGAGTTCGTCCAGGGAAGTACTGCCACCTTACCTATTCCTGCCGTCAAGCAGTAATGTCAGAAGGGTAAGGGTGCTGGTGAAATTACAGGCACATGTGACTTGTCAACTTGTGTCTCAGGGTCACGGGTGCAGTGTCAGTGTTCCTCAGATCTTTGTGATTTAAAGTTCTGAGTGGCACTGGAACTGTTATGGACAGGCGTGTAGATTAGGCACACGATTTGTCCGTCCCGTCACTTGATATTATAAAAAAGTCCTATGTGCTTGAAATTTCATACATTACGGCTTGGCGGCAAAAATAGGTAACGTGGCAGTACTCTCCGGGACGAACGAATGTACTGCAAGCGGGCGAATAGTGTCACCTATTGATATGGAGAGATTTTATTGTAATATTTCTTTAAAAGTATTAATTACCTAATTAAACTTTATTCATTTTATTATTCTTGTTTTGTTGAAATAGTTAAGCTCGTATACATTTTAATTTTTTTTAACGCTCATACACTCATTGCCCTGTACTAGGGAAACTGTATCGCAGGTGCCATGGACACACACATGAACAACCATACATTACACCCAAATGAACGAGAGAAATAAATGTAGGCCTTAAAAATATTTATCCCAGTCCGGGAATCGAACCTCTGCGTGGCAGTCCAGCACGGTAACCGTTCGGCCACGACATTTAGATAATAGATTTGTAAGGTACAGTTATATTTCTAGAAGCTCTATTGCTACTAAAAATTGTACTGATTAATTTATTGTACTGATATACACTTTTTTATAATTTCGTTATCAAATAGCTATAAAAAAAGTATATTATATCGCTATAGCATTTGCCACAAAGTTCCATTATTTAGGGTCATATTATCGCTGTTTGCCGATCTACTTACGTTCAGGTAAAGTCAGCAAAAAATTGGACCCATATCATGCACATCAGTCGTCAGACACGTTTCAGAAATCGACATCTGTTGATAATCCCAAATATTTCTGATCACGCTTACATTTTTTGCGCTATCGTTTGCTTTTAGACGTCCGTTTTTTTCTGAATTCTACCTGCGATCTGTACGGACTTGGGCATTAGCTTTTTTATTTTGTTTGCGAAGGGATGTGCGTGACGTTTCCAAGGGCGGAAGGATAGGTAGTTAGCCGCCGTTCCTTTGTTCACATTATTAGGGTATCGTGAGGAAATGCGTAAATTACTCCAATCCTCTAATAACACGGATTGGGTTTAATCAATATTTTTACCTGGAGGTGTTATGGAACTAACTTTTTATTTGGCAGTTTGGAAAACGATAAACGTGTCTAATAACCAAATTCAATCTTACGAATAAAAACTACCTTTTGTGCTTGTATCTCTAAGTATATATTTTTTAATAATGAATTTTTGATGATGAAGATGGAGCCGCGGTAGATCTAATGGTTTGACCTCTGCAATGTTTCTCAAGTCTCTCACGCAAAAGCTGTGGGTTCGAAATCGAATCCGTATTCGCATATCTGAGTTTTCGGAACTGATGTGCGAGATTTAATTTGAAATTTACCTTGAGCTTTTCGGTGATGGAAACCATCATAAGGAAACCTGCAGATCGAAGAAGGTTCACAACCCCTACCCACAATGGGCCAGGGTGGCGGACAATGGCCTAAACCCTCGCCTGGAAGGAGACCCGTGCTCAGGAGTGGGACATATAAATGGGTTGATGATAAATGCATTTTTAAAATAAAATTGTATTCAATGCTTTTTAAAATACATCTTGATGCTATTTCTATGCAAGAATCTCAACCAAATGCAATAAAATTAGTTTTAGTGCATTCCGTGGAATAACATCTAATAGAGATTTTTTTCTTAGAATCCATTGCAAATTGCCGGCTAACTGTAAAGCAGTTTTTAAAATTTTAATTTGATCAAACGGGATCTGTCACTTTAGACGTGAGAAGACCTCATTAATTTTCAAAGGAAATAACAGATTTTAAGAAATGATAGTCATAATGTCCAAATGTCACCAGAAACCATTCCTTCTATTGTGTTTTTCGGAACATGGACTTTTTTAAATATATGGACTTGTCTTTTATCCGTTTCTCCTTAACTTTTTTGGGTAGCTTTTTGTTGAAGCGTGCCTCCCTCAAAGTAGTTTGTACACGTGATGAATTTTAAAAAGTGCCTTAAGTGCTCAGAAAGATATGGTTATGACTGCATTAGGCGTGTAGTTGATTTGTCATGTAAATTTTATGTCTCCTTTCTTTTCAATTTTGTTTCACTAAATAGCACTTGCATTCATGTAGTGAATAGTAATTTTGGAATAACTTAGCGGCTAGCCTTTATCACATTAACAAGTATGCGGCTTATCTGAATAAAGATGGTTAAAAACTGTAGCTAGTGTACTCTATCGCATCAGATACCCCTGATTCCTAGTAAAGTTCCTCGGTTCACCTTGAGCTCCAAAACATTGCAAAAAGGTCCATAAAGAACAAGACCCTTGATCGCGAAATAAAATCTCGATTAGAAATTTAGGGACGTTTGAGCCTTCTTTTATGGTCCTTTTTCGAGCCGCTGCCGCTCTGAGCATTATTATTTTATCGGTGCTCAGCCATGCACACGAGGTAAAATAAAATTTTTGTTCGTCGAAAAATCGAAAAAAAGTACCTCAAGGTTTCGGATGCACGTCCTCGGGCGAGGCTCCGCTTAGAAAAAATAAACGAGAAAGTCCACACCAAAATGACCTGCGTTTTTGTCCACGATTTGTTTTCGTTTTTGTTACGTTTGAGTTCATTTGGAAGTAGCCATGTCTGTTGCTTACTGAATTAACTTAAATTGCCTTCGCTTTTTGTGTTTAAGAGAATTGCTTGATGATTCTTTTGTGGTTGTAATTTTAAAGGCGGGTAGTGTAATTGAAAAAAGACACAGCATTTTGGATGTAATAACATTTTTGGCGCTGTACT